CTATCTCTCACTCTCTGCTCTTTGAATTGAGAAAGCTCCTCGGATGAGGAGCGAAACGTCTTCTGTTACAAATAAAGTCCAGTTGTTTTTGTATTGAACGCTTTTTGAATTCATCATGTCCTGGATGACTGAGAATTTTCACCAGCACAAGCTGGAGCAATGTTTGCTGGCTTATCACTTAAACATGCAAAAGTAATTATTTTACCTGATTAAGTTTCTTTTCATTTTCTTTACTTTCTCTTGTCTGCTGGACTTACAAAAGCTACTCTAAGCAAAGATGTTCTTGAACATAGATTAGAAAAAGTGTCCTAAGGCAGACACAAAAATCAACTAACAGCTCAAGATGAACGGATGTGCAGATCACTCACCAAGGTTTACCTCTCCATTTTTATATCAAACAGAAGTTTGACAGCATGGCCAGACATCAAGATTGTTGATGCTTCAACAGTCTTAGGGTCTGAACAAACTGGATCATCTCACCCAGTTTGAAGTTCAGTTACACAGCATTACAGTCTCTTGTTAGACGAATTGAAAAAATAAAGTTTGTTAAAGCAGAAGCACACATAAAATCACCAGTATAGTTTCATGTTTTTATATTTCAAAAGATTGCACAATCAAATATATGGATTTTATTCCTGCATAAATCAGGGTTTTTATAAGCTTTAGGAGAATGTATGTAAACAATTTGTTTTTACTGATTAGATGTCCAATAGCGCTTGGAATTTTAAAAAACCTCATCCAAACAACATCAAGAATCATCAGGGCAGGATGACTTTAAGAGAGAACAGTTGCTGTCAGATAGGTCAGAGGTCAAAAGGAGGCCATAATAAGAAGGATAATGTGAATTTTGTCCCTAATTTAAAATCCAGCTGGCCCGGCAATGGAGGAGGGGGCATACCAAAGAGACCATCTCATCACAAGCAGAACTGGTTTGTTCCACTTACTTTGGAGTAAGCTGTTGTGGGAAGAATCCGTTTTGTTGTGTTTCTTTGGCTGATGAAGCCTTCCGGATCGAAGGCGAAACGTTTCAGCACAAAAAAAGAAATTGTCCAGATGACCTGACTGAAAAATGTTGGATTGTATACCTGAAATATTGAGCACCAACTTTGTTCTAATTTAAATTATTTTATTTATCTTATGAAGTCAGCACTACTTAAAGTTTTGTGGATACATGACTTAATGATATATGACTTTTTATTAGTCTAGCTACGTTACTAAAAGGCAACCTGGGTTTTATTTTCTGCTCTATTATAGATAAATATTTTCAAAGCTTTATGAAGGTCTTTCTTGTATAGCAGGCTATCTCTTCAGGTTAAATAAAACTCTTCCATGTTAGTGGAGCACCATTTTCTTTCTAACTTTATAGATGTTTGTTTTAAAGTACACAACTCTGAATTAAGCCAGGGAGCCAGCATCCTCTGACTGACTGCTTTCTTTTTACAGGTGCTGTTTTATCAAGTGTTGTTTGCTTTGAAGCTGTATTATCAACACGACAATCTAATTTGCATCCCTGTTGCATTACTCTGCAAGACAGAGTAAAATATTAATGGAGGAGATCCAATGGAGAAGAAATGGAATGGGATCAGAAGGGAAGTCTACAGCACCCTCAGATTGATGCTAAAGGACAACAAAAAAAAAACATCCCCGTTTAAATTTATTAGGGAGAATGAACACAAACAGGTTTAATCAGTTTTGTATATGTTCAAATTCTACACATATTTGAAAATAATTGAGTAAATCTGGTATATGAACCAACACAAAATATTTCCCACTGCTTATTTCTAGAATTCTAGAATTGTGCCGCTCAAGGTGGCTGCATGTTGGAGCAGCTCTGTTACTTTCATTCTGAGATTTTGCTTTTGGAAACTTTAATTCCTCTTTTTCTGGATGTAAATCACATTTTTTGGATAATTGTTTCCTCTGGTATCGGACGCTGTGCAGCCGGAAGGATTTTTACAGAGATTTTTTTGGTTTTGGACATTTGTTATGATGCGTAACCATGGCAACAAGGCAGTTTTCTACAACAACAGCAGCTGATTAACATCTCAAAAGCTCAAATAATTTCTCAACTATGGCCCCAACTCTCAAATGAGTTGAAAAGGATGTTATGTGGACGCATTCTCATCTACCTGCCAGCTGTGCTCGAGTGCCTGACTACTGAGATCCTGGAACTAGCAGGAAACACGGCTCATGACAGCGGAAAGACAGGATCGTCCCTCAGCACCTACAGTTGGCTTTCTGCAGTGACGAGGAGCTCGGCAGACTGCTGGGAGGAGTGGCCATCGCTCTGGGAGGAGTTCTGCCCAGCATTCAGGCGGTCCTACAGTCCAGGGGAACCGAGAGGCCAGCCGAGTCTGGAAGGACTGATCGGACGGCATCTGCAGCCAGTTTCTTAGGATCCACTGAGGGATGGACCTTTACAAGAGCCATCAGCATCTATAACATCTCTTAATGAAATGAGGATAACGAGTTACAACAACAAAATAATTTCCCTCTGGGATTAATAAAGTATTATTGAATTGAATTGAATTATTTAAGACTAAGTTCTAGAATTGTGCCGCTCAAGGTGGCTGCATGTTGGAGCACCTCTGTTAATTTCATTCTGAGATTTTGCTTTTGGAAACTTTAATTCCTCTTTTTCTGGATGTAGATCACATTTTTTTGGATGATTGTTTCCTCTGGTATTGGATGCTGTGCAGCTGGAAGAATTTTTACTGAAACCTTTTTTAGTTTTGGACATTTGTTATGATGCGTAACCATGGCAACAAGGAAGTTTTCTACAACAACAGCAGCTGATTAACATCTCAAAAGCTCAAATAATATCTCAACTACAGCCCAAAATCTCAAGTGAGTTGAAAAGGATGTTCTGTGGATGCATTCTCATCTACCTGCCAGCTGTGCTCGAGTGCCTGACCACTGAGATCCTGGAACTAGCAGGAAACACGGCTCATGACAGTGGAAGGACAGGATCGTCCCTCGGCACCTACAGTTGGCTGTCCGCAGCGACGAGGAGCTCAGCAGACTGCTGGGAGGAGTGCATCACTCTGGGAGGAGTTCTGCCTGGCATTTGGGCGGTCCTACAGCCCGAGGGGAACTGAGAGGCCAGCCGAGTCTGAGTGGACGGATCGGACGGCATCTGCAGCCAGTTTCTTAGGATCCACTGTGGGATGGACTTTTACAAGAGATCCTTCCTGTCTACAGCCATCAGCATCTATAACATCTCTTAATGAAACGAGGATAACGAGTTACAACAACAAATAATTTCCCTTTGGGATTAATAAAGTATTTTTTAATTGAATTGAATT